AACAGTAGCAAAATTACAGTTATGAAGTAGCAACAAAAATAATTTTATGGTTGGGGGTCACCACAACATGAGGAACTGTATTAAAGGGTCACGGCATTGGGAAGGTTGAGAACCACTGATATAGTGTCTCCTTGGGGGGTGGGGGGTTGGACTAGATAACCTATAAGGTACCTTCCAACTCTGTTAATCTGTATCTGTATCAATGTACTGGAGGGTTTAAGAAGAGATTGGACAACCATTTGTCTGAAATGGTATAGGATTTTCTACTTGAGCAGGGGATTGGACTAGAAGACCCCCCAGGTCCCTTCTGTTATTCTGTTACTAAACATTTTAAAGCAGTTGTTCTTTTTTCCATTGTTTACTTACACCCACCTTATCTGGCCAACAACCAAACACTGCCAAGTGTTTAGATATAATATTTCTATTGATCCCAAGGAATTCTTATTTTATTTTAAATTTCTAGACACTTCAATTCCAAAATGATTCATGCGATTAGAAAGCACAACCCCCCCCCAACATTATAGAAAAAGAAAAAAAGTCACCCAAGAGAACAGATTTAAAAAACACTCTTCCTCATCATTCCTAACCTAACAGTGCAACTGTGCACTGTTTAATATATTTAACATATGAGTTTATCAATATCTGGAAAAAAAACAAGATAAAAATGGCACAGTGGAATGAACCCCACAGATGAAAATATGTCTCTGCAACTGTTACAGAGATGCTTTATTTCTTCATACATGCTAATTTACAGAGAGTTCATTGATTAAATAATTGAAGAATATCGTCTCTACTTTAGACAGAAATGATGCCACTGTTTTATCATTTTCATTTCATTTCCTTTATTTGTATGCCGCCCTTTTCCCTGGGGGGACTCAGGGCGGCTCACAATTCAAAAAGGGAGGGGAGTTTTCCATTTCAATGCTTTATTCTCATCTTGATTATCTCCAATTGCAAATCTTTTTCCCAGAACATGTTGAGATTAGATTACGTGTTTGTTCCATAAAAGTATAGTAAAATTTTGAAAGAAGGCTTTTAGATACATCTAGAATATTCAGTTACCAGTGATTCAAAAATTCAAATAGGATTTGAGATCGATTTGCTTGGTTTTTATTTTTTGATTAAAGAATTTGTACTGCAAATAAAAGAGCAAGGAACAATCTAAGAAAGCTAATCAGTCAGTTACAAAGTTTTATGAAATTCTGACCTGCTTTTTCACTCTTATCTGCTTCCTGTCTATTCTTCAACTGTCTTTCAACAGTACTCAACTGCCTTTCTCCAAGGTTCCATTGTTTTCCTATTTAAATCTACCTTTTCATTAGTCAATACATAAGTTCCAAGTGAGATTGGCAGGGCATTATACTAACAGATTCCCCAAACAATGAAACAAAAAGCTTTGAAGATTACATTGAAGTTTCAGATTCAAAGAAATCTTAACATAATATTCATTTCCTTCTTTGATAAAGTTAATAGCTTCATAGATCATTTTGTAGGCATCATATATCTGGGCTCAGCAGAATTTTACATCTTTCAGGATGCTCATCTTGAAATGGTATTTTTATTTATGTTTATTGTACTTCTATTTTTATATATAAGATATCTGAAGGTGGCAAATATACCTAATACTCCTGCTTTCTTCTGGTTTCTCCACAACAACCCTGTGAGATGAGTTGGGCTGAGAGAGAGTGACTGACCGAAAGTCAGACCCAAACCCACTTCATGCCTGAAGTGGGTTTAGAATTCACACTCTCCTGATTTCTAGCCTGGTGTCTTAATCACTAAACTATATGAGACTTTTAGAAGAACTTCCAGTTGGTGGATGATTGTACTCCAAAAGTGCTAGTGTCAGGGTTCCAAATAACACATCCCATTCAATAAGAACTCAGAGGCAGGCAATTTCCCCCCAAAAAGAAAACATTTTATTGGGACATATCAAATTGGCATGTTCCTGGTGAAAAACCAGGTCTAAGTTCCCACCAGTTTTTCACTTTGTCACTCCCACCACCACCACTCTACTCACATGGTCCAATCAGCATACAGTCCCAGTGGCTAGGTGACCTCAGTCTCCACCTTTCAAACACCTGCACCAACATCCTTGATTCCCAGGGGAAAGAATTTTATTTAGGCTACAATACCCCAGCTATCTCTACACCCCCCTCCCTGGTCCGTTTGCTCCAGGCTGTGTCAGCCTTGAAACAATGGGAATAAAAACCTTCCTAGAGGAAACTACAAAAAGGATTGGGGGGATATGATAGCAATCTTCCAGTACTTGAGGAGTTGTCACAGAGAAAAGGGGATTAACCTACACTCCCAAGCAGAGAGCAGGACAAGGATGATAATAAATTTAT